TTTTATTCGAACCTTTGAACCTTTTTATCTTTACTCCTTCTTGATCCTAAACACATGACCCTTCGATGACTGCAATAAACATAAACGCTGTCCCTATGCCTAACGCATATTTTCTTTTGACAAAACCGCTTCCTTCCAATAAACATTCCGCCGCTACGATTTTCCTACAGCACCTTAAACGAAGATCATTCTCGCCAGTTCAGTTCTCGATCAAAGCTCCAACCAGCAACACCGAATAAAGACTTTTTCCACAAACGTGTCCCGACTTATTCTAAATAATCTATTACGTAGCTATACGCTCGTAACAGAATTCGATCCAACAGCAGGTACGTTTTTCGATACATGGTTTGAACGCTATGCAACCTTGTTTGAAGTGGATGCACAAGGTTTACCCGATGCAGCAAAGGTTAGACTGTTATTGCACAAGCTAAATAATACATGTCATGATCAGTATTTAAATACTATATTACCAAGTAAACCCACCGATTTCACATTCGCACAAACCGTAGAAAAATTAACTGAAATGTTTGGCAAAAAGACAACTATATTTAATACACGTTATACCTGTTTAACCTTATCTAAACATCCTAACGAAGATTTCAGGGCATATGCAGCTCGCGTAAACAAGCAATGTGAAGAGGCCAAGATCGGTCAGATTACTGCCGATCAATTCAAATGCCTCATGTTCGTATGTGGCCTAAATACCGATATTGAGATCTGGACAAAACTGCTTTCCTTAATGGACCGTCCTGACAAGCAGGATCTCACGCTGCATGACTTAATCACAGAAACACAACGTCTCGTCAATCTCAAACAGGACGTTACCATGGTGACCGCTCCAGATGCACAGGCTTCACCAACTATCTGTGCTATTTCCAATCAAAAAGGCAAACAACAACACAGATACAAGCAGCCCAATTCATCTCATCAAACCACCACAACCCAGTCACGCAAACCAAGGACACCATGTTGATTTTGCGGAGCCATGCATTATTCACGTGATTGTGGCTTCAAAAATCATCAATGTCAGCAATGTGGCAAACAGGGACATAAAGACGGATACTGTAACACTTACCGTCCTCAATCAACGGACAATTCGTCCCAGATCAAGCAAATCAGCAACGGAAATCGCAGGAAGCACATAATGCTGCGAATCAACGACATTCCAATCAAGCTACAACTGGATACAGCATCTGAAATTACAGTCCTATCTGAACACACATGGCGAAAATTAAACTCACCGGCTTACCAGCCTACAACTCACACTGCCCGCACGACAAATGGAAATTCCTTACGCTTATTAGGCGAATTTAGATGCACCATCCAATGCAATGGCCACTCACAAATAGGTAAGGCGTTTATCACAGACATTCCAACCTTAAATGTTTTAGGTACTGATTGCTTCGACGAACTTGGCCTCGGAGAGATTCCTATCAATGCAGTCTGCTCCACCATACAATCTCAAAACGGCGCCCATGCACTCCAATCAGAATTTTCGGATATCTTTACTGATAAACTGGGACATTGTACCAAAACCAGAGTCAACTTACATATAAAACCAGAATCTCCACCAGCATTTCGCGCAAAGCGTCTAGTAGCATACGCTACCATTCCATTGGTCGATCAAGAGTTGGATCGTCTTCAAAAATTGGATATCATCTCACCGATTGAATATTCGGATTGGGCAGCACCTATCGTGGTAGCAAAAAAACCTAATGGCGACATCCGCATATGTGGCGACTACTCTACGGGACTTAATCAAGCACTGGAGCCACATCAATACCCCCTTCCAATACCTGACGAAATTTTTGCGAAACTAGCAAACAAAAAGATCTTCAGTGTCATCGATCTTTCAGATGCTTTCCTACAGATTGAAGTTGCAGAAGAATCTCAAAAATACTTAACCATCAACACTCATCGAGAATTATTTATGTACAATCGACTGCCTTTTGGAATCAAAACAGCTCCAGCCAATTTTCAACATCATTGACGCTATGACTACAGGACTCACCAATACAACTGCATACATTGACGAAAATTTGGTGGCAGGCGAAAATGAGCATGACCATCAAAATCTACGCAATCTTTTCCAACGAATTTGAGACTACGGATTTCATCTTAAATTACAAAAGTGCAAATTACATATGGCACAAATTAAATACCTTGGACATATCATCGATGAACAGGGAATTCGTCCAGATCCAGCACGAACAAAAGCAATTGCACACTTGCCGATTCCGCATGATATTACCACACTCCGTTCATACCTCGGGGCGGTCAACTTCTATGGTAAATTCATCAAGGGCATGCATAAATTGCGAAAGCCACTCGATGAACTTCTCAAGGCAAACTCCCCCTGGAAATGGTCACAGCAATGCCAACAATCCTTTGACCAGTTCAAAAACATACTCCAATCCGACCTTATGTTAACACATTATGATCCAAAGCACGAAATTATTGTGGCCGATGACTTCAGATACAGGTATCGGCGCATGTATTTTACATCGATTTCCCGGTGGGGTCCTTAAACCCGTGTATCATGCATCACGTACATTGACATCAGCTGAAGCGGGATACAGTCAAATAGAAAAAGAGGGCCTCGCTTTAATATTTGCCGTAATGAAATTCCATCGCATGATTTTCGGGCGCAAATTCATTCTACAAACAGATCATAAACCTTTGTTGGCTATTTTTGGTTCACGTAAAGGTATACCAGTTTACACAGCAAATAGACTCCAGCGTTGGGCATTAACATTAAAAGCCTATGACTTCAAAATTGAGTACGTTAAGACAACAGACTTCGGACATGCCGATATGCTATCCAGATTAATAGACAACCAACACACAGAAAATGAGGATACAGTTATCGCTACGATCCAGCTGAAAGCATCAGTCCGACAAATACTTCATGAAGCAATAGACGCGTTACCTCTCACATTTAATATGGTAAAGTATTCCACAGCAACAGACGCACTCCTTCAGTCTATCGCGCGCAATACCCAGAATGGATGGCAGGAAATGCAAAACGCCGATCCTGAATTCTCTGAATACTACAAACGCAAAGATGCCTTATCAATAATTGATGGATGTCTAATGTGACACGATAGATTGATTATTCCCAAACAATTTCGATCACGAATCCTCAAACAATTTTATAAGGCACATTCAGGAATGGAACGTATGAAATCAATCGCACGAAGTTATGTATATTGGCCTCATATTGACCACGACATAGAACAATATGTTCGCGACTGCAATCGCTGTGCTGAAACCGCCAAAACACCACCTAGGGTTCCTCTCGCACCATGGCCAATGCCCCCAACACCGTGGCATAGAATCCACATTGATTTCGCAGGCCCAGTACACAACACATTATTTTCTTGTTGTAGATGCATACAGTAAATGGCCTGAAATCATAGATACCAGAACCACAACTGCTGATTTTGTAGTGTCCACCCTAGAAGAGTTATTCTCCCGATACGGACTTCCTGAAACCATTGTCAGCGACAACGGAACCCAATTTTCAGGCGAAATATTCACGACATTTTGTGAAACCTACGGCATCCAACATGTTCGTACAGCACCGTACCATCCACAATCAAATAGCTTAGTGGAAAGGTTCGTGGACACCTTCAAGCGATTTTCTAAGAAATTAACACAAGGGGAGGAACCCGTGAGTAGAAGACAAATTCAAATGTTTTTGGCTAATTACCGTACTACGCCAAATCGTAACGCCCAAGAAGAGAAATCCCCAGCTGAACTGATGTTCGGACGGAAGCTTAGAACAACTTTACATTTACTAAAGCCACCTAGCAATCAGACGTCATCAGAGTTTGTTACTAGCCGCAAATCTCAGGCATGGTATGAAAAGAAACATGGAACTCGACTCAGAACGTACAAGAGCGGTGAGCCTGTATATTTCAAGACGTATTCTGTAAACAAATGGAAATGGACTCCAGCAATTGTCATAGAAGCCAGAGGCCAGGTGATGTACAATGTACGTTTCGATGGCGGCAGGGTCCATAGAGTTCACGCAAATCAGATGCGCGCCAGAGCTGACAACGGAATAGAAGACATTCAATCCGATACTCAAATCCCGTTCAGTCTCCTCTGTGAGGAGTTCGAACTTCCGGTACCAGCCGATCCAGATCCGGCAATTGCATCCAAAGCTGCGACACCTGCACCGGCGCCGACAGTAATAACCGCAGAATTAACACTCCCGGCAACTGGTGACGATACACTCGTTCCAGCTGAAGATCAACAACGAAGGACCTCATCTCGAATGCGACGACTGCCCGATCGTTATAAAGATTATTACACCTCACTTCCGGCAGCCAGGGTGTCTTCCAAAAGAAAGGGAGGTGTTGGCGCCGGAACAGGCGCGACATCTTCCGAGACGGGCGTGCAGCAGGACGGAGCGAGACAGGGCGAGGCAGACGTAGAGTAGGGTAGAGAGAGTCAACTCGTTGTGCAATCACAGGCTTATCTTGTAGAGACGAAATAAAGTATCTTATAGAAATACGCAGCATTCAGTCGGAAAACCTTTCCTCCTTAAAGTACAACAATTGGCATAACTTATTTTTACTTGTATTAGATACTTTACTGAAATCGCATTCGCCGCGCATGTGAGTAAAAAGGCGGCCCGTATACCATCATTGTTCACGACAGTGATGCAAACTCGAGGCTTGAGCCGACCTGCACCAAGAATCAACCACCAACACCGTGACGGAGAAGGCATGCACAAACGAAAACCGTGCCGTGTGAGCTTCGCGCAGGCTCAGATGAACGCGAAACTCACGGACACGGTTTTCGCTTGTTGCGTATCCTCTCTGTCATGGTGGTGGTGGTTGGTTCTTGGCGCTAGCCAGCTCGAGTTTACATCACTGCTCGCGATAAACGTGCATAAACGTTGTGACGTGACGCTTTCCGTCGCGCCCGTCAAGGGTGCCCGACAAGGGCAGTAGCTCGGCCGAAGGGGGCGGAATTTGGAGTTGCGTCTCCCCGGTCGAAGAGGAAGCGATTTTTCCTGCTTCGACGGGTCTTGCGTTCTCATTTAAATTATTATAATCTACCGACAAGTTTAGAATTTTAGCGCTAGGGTGTATACGCCGTGAGATTTCGGAAGATGACCTCGACAGTGGAGAGGAAGCCCGAAAAACATACGAAACCAAGGTCTTGGCCTGGCCAGCCGGGCGGATCGAACCGGAGGACATCAAACTAAGAGAAATTCATCATTTCAAATTTTCGGCTGTTGGCGAGCACGAGGAACAGGATAAACAATTGACGAGGTCGGAGCTGTTTACGATCGACAGGCGACTCAAGAAAAATTATATACAGAATGCGCTGACCGATGCGCGGAGACTCGACATGGGCCAGGGGGACCTCAGAGAGATCACTGTTCGATGAGCCAGCAACCGGGAGGGAGCAGCTCCGGAAGAGGATCCCGACGAGCGTAGCCGTACCATCGTTGTAAGGCCATCACTCAGAGTAGCTATAATTTCGTAATACCAAATGCCAAAGCTAATGCTTCCGGCGAATTCAGTTACCGTAAAATTGTTGCGATCGTTCTTGATTGTCGAAACATAACGTACCGATACCGCTTCCCGTGAGTTTAAGAGCAGAAGGTTGGCTGGCCCCGGTTACCGTGTTACCGTAGCCCTCTTCGAGGCGCTGAGCCGTCGACAGTCCAACCGCTCGTAATCCGAGAAAAAATTATATCGTTACCGTCTCCATCTTACCGAAGTTATCAGTTACCGTCTCCGTCTTACCGGAGTTACCTGTTACCGTTGACATTGTTTGGGGAAGATACCGTTTGATAGAGAATTTGAGTCGCGGAATTTGCGTGGAGTGCAGTGCCGTTTCGCAGCAAGAGTTTGAATTCGGCCTTGTGGCGTAACGATCAACTCATTGCGGAAACTTGAGTGCCTCTATCGAAATTATCGTTGAGATTACCTTTTTGTCGGCTATCGAAATTCATGTATTACCGTTAGTACGGATTTGGCTTTGGAACGTCGTCTCTGGGCGAGATTCCGCCCTTAAGGGATTCATGCCTTTAAGGAAATTGAAACGTCTCTGGCAGGACTCCCTCTGTCACCGTGCCTTTCGATGTTACCGTTTTGGACCTGCCTTGGAGCGTCGTTTCTTGGCGGAATCTCGGGGGTCGCAGTTTGGAAGGAGACTGGAACGTGTCTAGCAAATTTATCATCGTATCGTTTATCGTAGTGTTCCTTCGGGGTATCGTTTTGCGTATCGTTTCAATTGCCGTTTCTAAGTGTCGTTTTACGTTCCAATTATCGCGTCTGAGTATCGTTGTGAGTAACGTTTTTGGCTATCGTTTTGCGTATCATTTTCTGAGTATCTTTTTTGAGTACCGCTTTGATTGCCGCTTCCAAGTAGTGTTTTGCGTGCCGTTGCCGATTGCCGTTTTTGCATATTGTTTTCAAAGATTGTTTCGACTGCTGTCTTCGAGTACCGTTTCTCGAGTGTCGTTCTTGAGTACCGTCTAGAGTATCGTTTTTGGAAGTATCGTTCTTGGTTATTGTTTTCCGAATAATATCAGGTTAAGTATTGTTTTCTGTGACGCATTGTTTGGCGAATATTGTATTTTGATTTGCGTGCGATACCGTCTCTCTTAAAGAGATTCTGAAGCTTGTTCTGCAATTTTAATTCATGATTCTTTAATAATAAGTGTTATTAACTTTCATGTTAAACGTGGTGTTTTTCTGACGACATCTCCTCTCCAGAATTTCCAATAGAAATCAAAGAACTACACCCCTCTGCCATATACTGAGCAAGAAACGGCCGGACAAATTGAGTAATTTATTAAAGTTACCGTTACCGCGATGCGATTATACGCACCTGGCGCCCATTCTCTGATACCGATTTTAAGTTATCGGTGTTACCGTTTTATTTACCATATTTTCCTTTCGGGGTTACCGCTGTTACCGCTGTTACCGCTGTTACCGCTGTTACCGCTGTTACCGCTGTTACCGCTGTTACCGACCTGGTTACCGAATCGTGCATTTATTGCCGATACCGCGCAAGTTACCTAACTCCCGAATTACGTGGAATACCGCAGGTTACCGATTTCCATTGGGCGTGCTCCCTCGGACGTGGCGTGATTCCAAGGCTAGTTCATGTCGCAACGTGCATGGATACGAATCGAGTAGTTGCGTACATGAGAAAAAATATTACCTTCTTGATGCAGTGTTTTTCTGTTGGCGAGGAAACAATGTACTTTATAAAAATGGTATCCACATTAGGATGCAATTAATGTCTAATATGAAAAATTGGGTGAATATTATTGCTTAACATTGGCCCAATGCTATTGGTCCAATATTGCTGCTTAGACATATTGGCTACATGAGAAGAGGCGTCCACCTTACAATGTTGGGGATCAATTCGCACCCAATATTGTAAGGTTTTTTCTACTGAGAAACAAAGTTTTAATTTAAAGATATATTAATAATAGAGATACACTTGCAATACATGCGTCTTTTCTACTCGGCGATCTCTCTTTCACTGCCCGCTTACTCGCCTACTCGCTTAGGCCAAAACAAACAGCCCGCACGCATCGATGTCCTCGCACGCTTGTTACACTCTTTCCTAATCTAATGTTTGCTTCCTACACTCGGCCGTCCTGACCGAACATTCGCCTCTAATGTTTGCCAGTGTCAATTTCCTCGTCGCTGTCGCATACGCTATCCTCGTCATTGCATACCCGCGGTTTCATGGAATCCGCGGACGACGAAGTCTGAAGAGGTCCCTCTCGTTCGCCAATTTTACGAGCAATGTAGCGATCATTTCGTAGGACCTTGATGACCTCGTATGGACCAAGATACTTGTACACAAACTTAAGTCCAGGGCCGTGTTGAGTTCGTCAGATTGCGACAATGTCATCGTCCCGATAGCTGAACGCCTTTTTCCTCTTAAAATCGTAATTCTTTTTATTTTCACGTTGTATATGTTCAATGTTTCTCTTTGCCTCGTGTCGCAATTCGTCTCGATTGTTTTCAAAGGAAGCGACCATTTCGCAATGTAATAACTCCTGAATATCCGGATTGTTTTGAATACGCGGATGGATCCTGAACAGCAGACGGAAAAACGTCATCCCGATGCTTCTATGAGATGTCGTATTGAGACATTGTTGCACAGCGTCGACGTATTTATGCCATTCGTTAGGCTTTGGTGCAGATAGCTTCGTTAGTAGCGGTATCAACGTCCAATTCAACCTAGAAACTCTAAAAAAAGAGACTCGTCAACTCGTCACGTGACTGTTAGTGGACTCTGATTGGCTGGTATATGGATCGCACATTTGTGCTCCGTGTGCACCATAAAACTACACTGAACTACACTATAACCTATTTTGATGAAGTGTGATGTGGTCAAGATCTATAGAGAGAAGGTTACCTCATGCGCAAAGAGGGACGAGGGGCAAGAGGGGCTAATGCTGTGCGGGGCGAGCGGCAAGAGGGGCAATGATGATCTCATCGTCAAACAGTAGCTGTCTCTCTCGCACGCTTTAGTGTTTTCTCTCTCGCTCCTTTAATATAGAAATGCTTTGAGTTTTTATGGAAAAAATACTTTTATTTTGTAAAATATTGATAGCACTGGAAATTGCGTAATAAAAATTGAAAAGTAAATTAGAAAGGCGCTATAAATTACATATATTGAAAATTATAGCGCTAGATATTTAACGTTTATAATGTTAAATATTGCTGCAACAGATGCATTTGTAATACAAATTGCTTTGTACTCGTATTTAGACTGTAATAACAATGAAAATAAAATATAATTTGGGGATATACACAAAACATCATTTGTAAAGTAGTAAAATAAAAGAAAAAATAGTACATATTTAAAAATTATTTTTAAAATAATATTTACTGTTTATATGCATTATTTACAAAAGAAATACTATAAAGAGATTTATTTTTTATATTTAATTGTGAAAACCTCAAAAATTGTCAAGAAATTGTAACTGAAATTCATAAATGTAAGTACAATTCTAGGATAATATAAAAAGCATCATACACAAATTTAATATGATACAAACTTAAATAATGAAATTGTAATATATGTTTCAACATTGCAAATGTGAATATTTATATGATAAAATTTACAAAGTGTTAACAATTTTCAAATATTTGCTAATAAAATATTATTGAAATGTTTCTGTTGAAATCTTAAAATAATTCTTTAAAACAAATATGATGGGGTATATATTAGGCATCATTAAATATGCGGCAACATTGTGATTATAAAATTTTATAAGTATCTATAATAAAAATTAAGTATAATAAATATAATAAGTATATAAGTATAATAATAAAATTTTTATAAGTATCTATAATAATAAAAATACATATATGTTGTATTAATCTGTTAATATAAAAAAATTATTAATTAATTTAACGCAAATAAATTTCTTTATATTAACAG